GCACCTGCTCCTTCTCTGCACCTGCTGTTCCTCCTCTGCACCTGCTCTCCCTCCTCCTATGCACCTGCTCTCTCCCTCCTCCTATGCACTTGCTCCTTCTCCTCTGCACCTGCTGTTCCTCCTTTTCTGCACCTGCTCTCCCTCCTCCTCTGCACCTGCTCTCCCCCTTCTCTGCAACAACTGTCCCTCTCCTCTGCACCTGCTGTCCCCCTCCTCTGCACCTGCTGTCCCCCTTCTTTTGCTTATGCCCCCTTTCTTCCCTTTCTCACATCCCACTCTGAATCTGTTCCATTTCCTCCTCCATACCTACCTACTCCCCACTTCCTCTGAACCCCCTCTACCACAGCTTGAACCTTCTTCCCTCCCTCCTGGCCCCTGTTCCTCTTCCTCCGCACCCACTGATCCTCATTCCTGTGCTCAAATGGAGCAGCCTCCCCCAGCCATGCTTCACCACCCTGCACCCCTTGCCCTTGGTGTTCTGCCTACATCCGAAAGAGTGAATCTGTAGGGGATCTTCTTCCTTTTGTGCCCACTGCTCCTCCTGGGATGCCTGAGTCCAGGACTGTGCCTTTGGTACCCAAGGCACTATTCAGGAATGACTAATCAACTGCTGAGTGATTGGCAGGCAGCCTTGTTCTGCTTGAAAGCTGATCTGAGAGCTGTGCAGGCACCAGCTCATGTACTTTATTTTATCTGTGTATCTGTATTATTGATGTATTCTTATTCATATGAATACATTTAAAAAAGACATAAATTCAAATAATTAGAGCATGTAACTATAATTACATAGCCTTTCATATAAATTTATATCCAAGTATCTCACAAGTATACATATTAAATGTAAATATAAGTTATAAACATCTACTATTCATTTTCAATTACACTATTTACACACTCATTCAATGTATTTGTTTATTACTAGTATTTGTGAGAGTGTGTTGGCACAAGCTTGGCAAGTGCTCTACCACTAGCCACGTGCTCAGCCTGAGTGGATCTTAAGTGTGACATTTACTTCATTTTTCCCAAGCTAACCTGCTTTAAGCCTGTAACCTTGAGATTCTGTCTGCCCACAGAACACTAGTTTTTATCCTGTGTCTTGAATGCTGAGCAGTTTATGTGTCTCAACATTCCTTCCTGTCACAAGGACCTCAATTATCCCCATTCTACAGAGAAGAAAACTAAGGCCCCAGATGTGACCTGCCAGCCAGATGCATCAAGGCAGGGCTGCGATTTGAATTCTGCCTGGATCTCATCTCTGCCCCTTCTCTTCTCTAGAGATGGCCTCCGAGGAAGTCGGAAAACACTCAGCAATTCAGCAAGAGCTGCCTGCCTGTTCAGGCCTGGAGTTGAGTGCTCCCGAAAGGAGCTGCAGGGCCAGCAGAGACCCTCCGGGAGCTCCCAGACAGATCCACAACTAGGTCAGAGCTGAAGGGGGAATTTTCCAGGCAGGGGCGGGGTGAGGTGGGAAGGTCAGAGCTGGAGGAGCTTTTCAGGTAGGCACCAGGACAGACTTGGGAAAGACTCAGAGGCTGATGAGCGAGTCAGGACCCACACACCCAGCTCCATACTCACGATGGTCAAAGGGATGGAAATTGCAGGTCTTCACCCTGCGCCAACCCTTCTCTTCCAAGCACACCACACTTATGTCGAGTTGGTCTGCGGAGGTCAGTGACTGGGACTGCAAGGGAGGAGAGGCAGAGGTGTAGCTGCCACAAGCCATTGACCAAAGGAGACCATTAAAATGTCAAGGTAAGGACATGCTCTGCCTCTGCACAGCTATCTAAGGCAAGGAGTAGCCAAGGTCCAAGGTCCATAACCAGCCAGGTTGTATTTTTAGCTGTGCAGGCCACATGGTCTCTGTCCCAACTCAAGGGCCACGTTCCAATAAAACTTTATTTACAAACACAGGCAGCATCTGGGTTTGGCACAGAGAGCAGTCATTCAGTTATCCCTGATATAAACTGAAGTAGGCCACCAGGACTCAGAGGAAGTTCCCCATCACAAGAGAAATGTAAGTAGCCGAGCCTCTAAGGAGGACAGGCATAGGGAAGGAGGAATTAGACCTGTTCAATAGCCTTATCCCCTGACTCTTCTGGAAGGAGATGGCTAGGTACCGAGTGTGTCCCAGGCAGCCGCTGCTCACGGCTTGCTAATGAGCACAGTAGTTGCCCCCCACACTTCTCCCCGAGACCACTCAGCTTGACAGCAGAATATGAGTTCACTTAAGGCCATTGCAGCCACAGTTCCCCAGAATGACCAAAGCTCAGAAGGTGAGCTTTGAGCCCTAAGTAGGCAGCAGGAGGAGGCTCAGAGGCAGGCCATGGTAGGACCTATGCTTTGGGACTGGGTTGTGGTTTGCAGTCTGAGCCTTGAGGCCTGGTCCTTCCCACCTGCACCAGCTTTGAGCCTGACCATCAGTTTTCTGACCAACCAGTTAGCCGGGCACTGCTTCTTCCCACTTCATGGAGGACGCTGCCTTCATCTCTAACACCTGCTACCAGCTCAGGTTCACCCACTTAATAATAGCACAAGTTGGTTATTACGGTTACAGTTGGTCTGAAGGCATTGCCAGTACCAGGCTGCTGGGAACTTCTGTCCCCTCTTCTTTGCATAAATTACCTCATTGAACTCTCACCACCCTCTTAGACATATACTATAGCCATTCCCATCAGTTAGCCCAGGGGACTGAAACACAGAGAGGGTTAGGGACTTGCCTAAGACCACACAGCTAAGAAATAATCGGACCGGATGGAAGTCAGTTTCCTGCAAAGCTCCCAGATTGGCATAGCCGGAGGCTTACTGGCTGTTTTGTGTATCTCCCCTCCTCTTTCTTTGAGACAATGTGAACCTGCCAAAGGCTGGACAACGTGGCCTAGACTCCCCAGGGCAAACCCCAGTACTGCCCTGCCCCTGCCCAGAGGGTTTGAGGAAAAATTTAAGTTATGCCCACATAGTCTGAACCTGGGAACCTGCAAGAGGCAGATGGGTAATATGGAAAAGCCACCAGGAGCCTATAGGCCTGGGATCAATCCCAGCTCAGCTGCTTATGGCTGGGTGACCTTAGCAGATACCACATCTCTCTGAGCCTGAGCTGCTTCCTTGGTAAGGAGACAAAATCGTCAGGTCTGCTTATGACTTTCAGCTTCTCCGCTGTTCCATTTTCTTTCCTATTTTATGGGAGGGGAAACTGAGGCACTGACGCTGCACAGAGTCACTGAGCTGTTGTGAGGTAGCACCAGGGCCGGAATGCTCACTAGCATGTCACTGTCCCCTACTCCCTAGATGCCGAGGTCTCAGCCAGAGTCCGACATGATTGTCATTGTCTGGGACACAAAAGGGTGGCAAGACCCACAGAGGAGAGTGAAGGCAACAGTTCATGAAGGAGCAGCGCGAACACAGACCCAACACCTCCAAACCCCACCTCCTGTTCCTCCTTGTCAGCCCAGATGGCTTGGTCTGCATTACCAGGTTGATACTTGCAGAGGTCCAGGCCCACCTTGAGGCCTGAGCCCACAGCTGGAAGGACTTCACACACACACACACACACACACACATGCACGCACACATACACACGCACACACACGTGCACGCACGCACGCACGCACGCACACACACACTGCTGCTGCTCAAGCTACTTACTTCTGGGAGTGTCCCGAGAATCAGGTTGCAGGCCCAGGATGCCTGCCTCAGGAGAATTAGCTCACAAGTTTTGTTCCAGTGTCTTGCAGAATAGAAAAGTCCCATTAGAAAGCATGGCAGGACTACAGAGCCATCCAAGATCCTTCTCAGGCCCCGCTGTGCCAGAAACAGCAGCACAGTAGGCGAGCCAGTGGTCTCCGATGCTCCCAGGGCTCTTTCCCTCCACAATACTTTTTCATACCCTTACTGTCCCCACCCCAGCCTGGCCTCCCAGCAGCCAGAGTGACCAAGGAATACAAGTCAATTCAGCCCCACCCCGACCTGACAGCCCACAACCTCCAGGCAGCTAAAGTCAGCCTGAAGAAGCCTATGGTTCCCCAGGTGCTTCCCAGGCAACATAACCCCATAAATGCCTGGGGGGGTCTCCCAAAATACCAGATTACTAAATAAAACCTTAGGAAGCACCAAGTACACACCCTAATTACCTCTTCCATGAAGTCTAGCCTTGCATGAAAGGTTCACAGCCACTGTCCCAAAACAACCTGGTCCAGGACCTTGCCAGCTCTCACTACAGCCTGGATCACACCCACTTTCGGGAGCTCAAATAACTGAGTGTCTGAGCCTGGTGCTAACAACTGTGGATCTCACACCCAGGACTCCACAGCTTGGAGGTCCCACAGCCTGAGGTTCCGGTGAGACCAGGTCACACTCACCGCATGTCTGACTTGGCATGGATGTGGCAGGTTGTGACATTCAAGGACTCTTCATGACTCCACATGCAGGAGACATTAGCTCTTGAGTTGTAGAAGCACTCAAGATGGGAACAGTCTGTGGGCAGAGTGGGGAGTGAGTGTCCGGGTACAAGACATACACAACCTCTGGACATGTCCATTATATGTGCCTGGCATCCTGCGCCTGCCCCACGAAGAGGTAGGGGACTCAGCTGGGCAGAAAAGGAATTCAAATTCATTTCATTGTCGTGTGTGTGTGTGTGTGTGTGTGTGTGTGTGTGTGTGTGTGTGTGTG